GTGAATGCCATGTGTTAATCACTCTTTGGGTGAAGAAGAATTTCCTTTTATCCGTTCTAACCCGACCGCTCAGCAATTTCATGGAGTGCCCATGAGTTCTTGTATTGTGAGAAAGGGAGAAAACGACTTCTTTCTCGAACTGCTCTATCCCACGCATAATCTTGTATACCTCGATCATGTCACCCCCCTCTCAGCCGCTGTTTCTCCAAGCTAAAGAGCCCCGAGTGCTTTAACCTTATTTCAATGTTTATGAGTTTTATGATGTGCATTGTGTTTAATGAATTTGTTTTTAGTGTATTTTAACTTTTAATGGAAGCCGCCCTGAGGCTGCCCTGGCAGGGAGGGCGGGATACAAATTGAACTAAACAAATAAATAGATCTTTGGGAGGGGAGCCAGGGAGGATACCCCAAAGGGAGGCCCTGCGTCTCCCCACTCGAGGTTCAGAGAGAACCCACAACCGACAGTCCTGACACAGTTCTATTTTTGCCAGGTGGGTGACAGGAGCCCGTCGGTTCTTCCAGGCCCATGCCATGCCGTTTCAGGTTCCCTGCAGCTTCCCCCTTCCTTCCCAAGCCGCTCCTCTCCCACTCCGAGCTGCCAAAACTCCTGCAGCTCCAGGCGCTTCAGCCAGGAGAGAAATACCTCTCCACGATGAGCTGGCCTCCGCCCCCTTCTGCGGAGACACGGGTGCGCTTCTCCCCCACAGAGCATCTGGCCCTCTTGTGGCCCATGAGCCACCGCTCACGTCACCTCCAGGGCCGCGAAGGATCCCTCATTCTTAGATCCGACTCAATAGCACGCCACGGTTCCTGCTAACATTTGGGACAGGCAGGGCTTTTTTTATAGAAAAAGCCCAGCAGGAACTCATTAGCATAATAGGCCACACCCAACAGCAGAAACTCATTGGCATATTAGGCCACACCCCTGACAGCACAGCTCATTGGCATATTAGGCCACACCCCCATGTTACCAGAAGTGTGCTCATCCAGCCTCACCCACCTTTTGCTTGTTATTCTGTTCACCTTGTTTGTTGTCAAAACCCAGGACTTTTTTGTAGCAGGAACTCCTTTGCATGTTAGGCCACACACCCCTAATGTAGCCAATCCTAATGAGTTTCTGCTGTTGGGTGTGGCCTATTATGCTAATGAGTTCCTGCTGGGCGTGGCCAACTTGGAAGCCAGCCGGAACTCCGTTCCTGTGCATTCCTGCCCAAAGCCCTGGGGACAGGGAAAGTCCATGTGATGAGGACCTGGCACTGGGCGTTTTCTTGGCCTTCTTCCAAAGGAGAGATGAGGGAACTAAAAAGTCCAGGCCAAGGTTGGGAAAGGAGGCCTGACTTGGCTCTTCTCTGCCCCCCCCACCCGAATCGGAGGCCCTCTGTTTTGTTTCCCCTTCCCCTTCCCCACCACTTGGAACAGCCCCAAACAAAGGGCTTTACCGCCCTGGCAGGTGATGCCAAAAGGCAAGGCAGTGGGGATAGGGGTTGTGTGTCCCCTATTTCACGGTTCACCATCAGGAGCAACGGCACGCCTCGGGCAAAACTGCTTGATTTAATATTGATAAGCTTTGCATTTTAAATATTTCTCAAGGACACAGAGAGCCGGAGGGGGGGGGGGGGGGCGTCCTCGGGGGTGCACAGCCAGAGGAAACAGGTCAGCTTCCTCTTGTGGGTTTCCCTTCCCTCCTTGAGAGCCAGTGTGGTGCACTGCCTAAGAGTGTCAGACTCAGATCTGGGAGGCCCGGGTTCGAATACCGACTCTGCCACGGAAGGTGGGCCAGTCGCATACGTTGGGCCTAACCTACCTCACGGGGTTGTTGTGAGGGTAAAATGGAGGAAAGGAGAACATTCTGGGTCCCCGCTGAGGGGAAACGCTGGGTATACATGATTTAAATGAAAAAACCCCCAGCAAATAGAGAGCGGTGGTTTAAAAACGTCGACGATGTTGTTCCAATTGTATCACAAAATGGGCCCCTTTCTCCTAGATTCACATCCCTGAAGCCGAATGCCCATCTTCATAGGAAGAAGAGGAGGAAGAGGAAGGAGAAAACACAAAACCCAGACTACAGTGGTAGTTGATCACATGGAATGAAGAATGCCACCATCGGCTATGAATTGTCCTAGCACTTTATATGTTTTATTCTGCATTGTTGTGATTGTATTTAAAGACTGTGTTTTAACTGTTTTAACATATTGTCTGTAAGCCGCCCTGAGCCTGCCTTGGCAGGTAGGGTGGGATACAGATTAAACAAAGGAATAAATAAATGAAGAAGAAGAGGAGGAGGAGGAAGGCGAAGGAGAAGAAACTGGATTTATACCCCGCCCTTCACTCGGAGTCTCAGGACGGTTTACAATCTCCCTCCCCTCCCCTCCCCTCCCCACAACAGACACCCGGTGAGGCAGGTGGGGCTGAGAGAGCTCTTTCAAGGACTGCTCCTGAGAGAACAGCTCTGAGAGAGCGTGTGACTGACCCAAGGTCACACCAGCTGGCTGCATGTGGAGGAGGAGAGGGGAATCAAACCCGGTTCTCCCAGATTAGAGTCCGTGCTCCTCACCACTAGCACCAAACTGGCCCACCTCCACTGAAGAAGCCTGGCGGGCCGGGGGGGGGACTGTGAGGGGGGGGAGCCAGAAAGTGGCCTTGGGGCTCTAGCTTCCCGGTCTTCTCTGCTGCTGACCAGGATGTGGCCGCAGCTCCACGGCAGCTGGGACTCTTGCGGTCCTGCCCCAAAGCCTTCTCCTCTGGGCCACAGTTATTTCAGCCCTTGTTGCCACAGGAGAGGCTGGGAAGGCTGGAGGCCCCCCTGCAGGCCCGGCCGGCCCCTCTGAGCAGGAAGGGCACCCAGGGAGGGGCCGCCTGGCCTGCTGAGGGGACAGGGCAGATGGAGAGCAACATGCCGCTGTGGCTGGCTTCGCTTAGCAGGGCAGCCCAGGAAGCAGAGAGGCGGCTTCCACCGCAACCGGGCCCCCTTTTCTCCTCCAGATCTCCAAAGCCTCTCTTGAGCTGCCTTTCTGTGCAGGGGGTTCCAAAACATGAGGAAGAACTTCCTGACAGTTGGAGGGGTTCCTCAGGGGAATAGGCTTCCTCGGGAGGAGGGGGGTGGGCTCTCCTTCTTGGGAAGTTTTCCGACAGAGGCTAGATGGCCGTCCGACAGCAGTGCCGATTCTGTGAACCTGGGCAGAGAAGAGAGGGCGGGAAGGGTTGCCTCAGGGCTTAGTTCTTTCTGACAGGCCCGGGGAAATGCTGATCGCCACTTTGGGGTCAGGAAGCCATTTTTCTCCAGGTCGGTTTGGCTGGGGATCCTGGGGGTTTTTTTTGTCATCATCTGGGTGTGGAACAGGGGGTCACTGGGGGTGTGGCGAGAAGGGAGTTGTGAATTCCCTGCATTGTGTGGAGGGTTGGACTAGATGAAGAGGAGGAGGAGGAGGAGATTGGATTTATACCCCACCCTTCACTAGTGGAAGGCGTCTCAGAGCAGCTTACAAACTCCTTTCCCTTCCCCTCCCCACAACAGACACCCGGCGAGGTAGGGCTGAGAGAGCTCTGACAGAAACTGCCCTTGAGAGAACAGCTCTGACAGAACTACGGCTTGCCCAAGGTCACCCAGCAGCTGCAAGTGGAGGAGTGGGGGAATCAAACCCCGTTCTCCCAGATTAGAGTTTGCGCACTTAACCACAACACCAAACTGGTTCCCTAGATGACCCTGAAGGTCCCTTCCAACTCTTTGATTCTATGTGTGCCATGCCAGCTGCCAGTGAAATGCGGCTCGGCCTGGGGCCAAACACTTCAGCAACACCAGCGGCATTGTGGGAGGCAACCAAATCCCTGTGTCCGGAGGGAGCCTCCCTGCGGCCGACTTGAATGGCATTTGGGTTAATTCCTCTGCTCGCTCCTCACGAAGATGTGGAAAGGCAGTGAGTGACTCCTTTGGCTCACAGTTACTCCAGTCAGCAGAGCCAGCCTGGGGAGGGGGGAGGAGAAAAGGCCCCTCCCTGCTCCGTTGGTGGGCTCTCCCCTCTCTCAGGGCCTGTCCTTGCCGACAAACGACCACCCAGCCACAGCTGCTGATCCAAGTGTGTTTTATTGGTATACGCGCTTCCCTTGACCCATTGGATATTGCCCTCCCGTACACAGGCGCTGCACCCTGCCGGCCAGGGGGCAAGCCAAAAGCAAACGGCTGCGGTGCATCCTGGGGCTCCTTCCGGGGATTTCTCACATCCTACCTGTAAGATTAAAGGCTGACCCTACTGCCAGCCCCTGGAGGGGGACGGAGGGAGGGGTCTTCTGGCCCCCTGAGTCCTCCACATGACATTTGAATATGCAGGAAGGTGCAGAGGCCCTTCCGGAGACCGAGACCGTCGCAACGGAGAAGGGGGGTGTCTCTTCCAATCCTGGGGGGGAGGAAACCGGATCCCAAACTATTGAACGCATGCAGACAAGAACGGAGATCCTCCAGAGGTTCTCGGCACCATATCCATGTGCCCAGGGTGCGGCCTCCTGACACACCCTCGGGCCCAGTGTTCCGCGCTCAGAGATTCCCCAGAAATGCTGCCTCTGGGTCAACACGCCACGCAAACGGGGCAGAGGGCCCTGTGGAGACAGCAGCAGCAGGGCCCTTTTGGCGCTTTTCGCCGGGGCCTCTTCGGAGTCGCCCTCTGGAGAGTCCACCGAGCACCCTTTTCGCTGTGGGCACGGCCAAGCTCAGCGTCCGTCCTTGATGAGGGAATGAGGGGCGTGGGAGGAGGGAGTCCGTCCTGTGCCCCCCCCAGGGTGGCTTGGCTGGGCAAGCGGCACTCGGGGGTTCCGAAACCCCCAGCCACCCCTGGGGCGGAGAGCCCTCCGCGGGCCAGGCTTCTTCTTAAACAACGAGAGTTTCATTGGTTACACGCCATCATCACTACTAGGGGGTAGGGGGGGGGGAATCACATCATGCAGTCTGGACGACAGACCTCTGTACACAGTACCCAGCGCCCTCGGCCTCCCGGGGGCCTCGTCCGGCCTCAGACGGGAGTGGTTCGTCGGCTGGCGGGGTTGTTGTGCAGCGACTCCTTGAACTCTTTGGGGAGGGAGTTGTGAATCTGTAAAAACCCGTGATCCCTCTCGGAGTTGAGCAGGGTCCCGATAGTCACCTTGGAGGGGTCCCGGGACAAGGTGAACATGGAGATGTCGGTGGAGGGGATGGTGGTGAAGCCCTTGCCGATGGGGGAGAGGTCCCGCGACCGGGGCTCCGTGGAGCGGGAGCTGGATCTCCTCCGGAAGCGGTAGCGGTAGGTGGGCAGGCGGGCGAAGGTGGACTTCTTCAGCAGCGCCACCGAGTGGGACTTGGCTCGGATCTGGCGGTGCCTCTCAATGTACATGTGGACGGCGATGACTCCCACCATCTCGGCGATGATGAAGGATAAGGCCCCGAAGTAGAAGGACCAGCCGTAGGAGTAGCTCTTCTTGGAGTCGCTCTGCCCGGGATCCCCAGCGTTGGCCGAGATGTAAACGATAATCCCGATGATGTTGCTCAGTCCTGAAGGGAAGGAACGGAACAGAGCGGGTTGCTGGGTGTTACAAGTTAAAACACTTCTATTTCAGTATTTACTGGGTTAATACTGTTTGTTAAATCACATGTTTGTTTGTAGCCAATCTGTTTAGAGAGCTAGAAAGCCCCGTCAACTTCAGATCTAGTTTGTTGTTCTGATTGGAGACCAAAGTGCCAAGTATTAGCATTTTATGGTCCTTTTTCCTGAGCAGGGGTCGTTTCGTAGAAAAAGAGCTAGGGGAACTCATTAGCATAACTCATTAGCATATTCCACACACCCTGACTTCACCGAAAGTGTTGGGGGCCTGGCGGTGGACCTGCAAGGCTGGTGGGAGTGTGAGGAAGCCCCGCCAAGGCCCTCCCTGGCCCCAGGCAGGCAGGGGTGGGGAGAGGCAGGGAGAAAGCAACTTACCCTCCCTCTTCTCCTGCCTCCTCCTGGCTGAATGAGGGCCGGAAGCGGGGTTGTTATTTTACATCCCGTATACCTTTTCCCCATGCTAGGTTGTAGTAAACTTTTATATTTAAACACACCATGGACTCTGACTCTTTAATACTCTGCCGACTGCTGATTTACTCTGCTGATTTACTTTAAAATTAAAAGAATAACCCAACACGGGTGGTGAGTGATTGTGTCACCCCCCTACCGTCCAGACCCAGGTGAGAGTTATGGGGAATGCTCCCTCTAAGCTGTGGGGGCTAAAAATCTGTGAGCTAGCTCACACTAACTCAGGGGGAACACTGGTTATGGGGCTCTGAAACAGGCCAGAGGCAAATCGGAGGCCCTTGGCAGCCAAGACTACCATGATTTCCGATGGCACAAGGAAGATGGACGGATCGCTTCCTAAGGCGCTTTGGGTCTCCTTTCCATGGTTCTGTCAAGGGCAACCCACGACCTGCCCCGTTTCCCAGCTGGGCCCTGATTCCATTAAACATGGCCATGGCTTTTCATGCGCTTGGACTCAAACATGTGTACCTATGGTACACAATGGATTTCCCAGGTCCGCCTCTGGATCTATTTAGGCTTAGTACCAATGCTCCCTCTAAGCGGTGGGGTCTTGTGAGCGAAAATCCTACTTTGTGAGATACTGGCATTAAAGCTGTGAGCAAGAGCTTTGGCTGCTGCATCAATGAGTCTGTTCTGTTAATTTATTAATTCATTCAATTTATACTCTGCCCTCCCTGCCGAGGCAGGCTCAGCGGGGCTTACATTAAAAAATCATATATAACAATTAAAATCATTCATAAAAACAACCATAAAGCAAAGGAAGAAGGAGACTAAAAGATGCTTCGGGCCTTCAGGATGACCCTTTGCTTCTCAGTTTGGTGTGGTTAGGAGCGTGGACTCTAATCTGGGAGAACCGGGCTTGATTCCCGGGTTGACCATCTCCAGTTGGTGGCTGGAGATCTCCTGGGATTACAAGTGATCCCCAGACAACAGAGGGAGACGTTCACCTGAAGAAAATGGCCGCTTTGGAAGGCGGACTCTAGAGGGCATTCTACCCCATTGAAGTCCCTCCCCTCCCAAAGCCCCGCCCTCCTCAGGCTCCACCCCCCCAAAGATCTCCAGGTGTTTCCCAACCTGGAGCTGACAGCTCCAATTAGGACCCAAAACCTTTAATAATAATACCCTTTGTTAACACATGAACACACGAAGGCGCCTGAGACTGAATCAGACATTCTTGGTCCACCAAGGTCAGTCTTGTCTACTTCGACATGCTTTGGGGCAATTTTGAACTGCAGCATCTGCTGGTGAGACTCTAGTTTTTGCATGGAGGTAAGGGTGGCCAGCTGGTTTCTCTTCAGGTTCTGCAGGGTCTCGGGTAGAGGTCTTTCATATCACCGGCTACTCGGTACTTCTTTTATATGGAGACACCAGGGACTCCACCTGGGACATTCTGCGTGCCGAGCAGAGGCTCCGCCACTGAGCCACAGCCCCTCTTGACAGCTCTCCAGGGTCTCAGGCGGAGGTCTTTCCCATCACCTCCCGCCTGGTCCTTTTTAACTGGAGATGCTGCCGGGGATTGAACCTGGGACCTTCTGCGTGCCAAGCAGAGGCTCTGCCACTGAGCCACGGCCCCTCTTGACAGGTCTCCAGGGTCTCAGACGGAGGTCTTTCCCATCACCTCCTGCCTGGGCCTTTTTAACTGGAGATGCTGCTGGGGACTGAACCTGGGACCTTCTGCATGCCAAGCAGAGGCTCTGCCACTGAGCCACGGCCCCTCTTTACAGCTCTCCAGGCATCGAACCTGGGACCTTCCGCATGCCAAGCAGAGGCTCTGCCACTGAGCCACGGCCCCTCCCCTCCCCCCAAACATCACATAACGAACCACA